CGGGCGGACACTTAAATTAGCACTGAGCCAGTCCGCTTTTAGTTCAGTTTCTTTTCGGGGTTTTGCCTTCGCCAGCCGCTTCATTAGCGCACCAAAAAGTAAAAGCCTCCAAAAAAAAAGAGAAGTATTTATATATATATGAAATTATGTCCATATTTGTGGTAAATTATGAGACCCTTTCATAAATCAGCACCGGGGGCAGCTGCTGCTGCTGTAGCCGCAACGACCTAGCCAACTAGACGGCTGGCAGCGTTCACAGAAGGACTACTTAAAGGCCAAAAAGCTAGCCAAAATAGTCCATGTAAATTTACATTGTGCCGCCACAAGCCAACGCTGGACAATCGCCAGCATTTGACTTGCTTTAAACTATGCCATTTATCATACACAGAGCGACCGATATACGTACTATATAGACACACATTCAGATACATATATATATGTAGGTATAGGTATAGTTATATATACTATGCACATTTTGTCAGTCCGCATTTGGCCTTTTGCTATTTTCACCATTTCTTTCGCTTTTCAAAACGAACGACAACAATTCCATTGTTGTTAGCTCCAAAAAGGCTACCGTTTTGTGGAGCGCCTGTTTTTTTGTTTTTGTCTCTGCGCTCTGCGCCACTTATCCACTGACCGCACTGCGTGGCCTGGGTGGTGCTGCATTTGGGCCGCGACAATGAGTGGACAGGCCAGGCTAACCAGATCAGAGCCACAAACAAACACAAATATGATGCTCGACGGCTACTGCCTGGCAGTATTCGCCCAGTTTCTGATTCGAGGAGTACTGAATGCGACCATATGTAGAGCTGCCCAAGCAATCAAAGGAAGTAGTATTTGACTTAAAGTGCTCGCCCTGTAGATGTTCTATAAATAGAAGCAAGCAGTTTTCAAATCTGTGCTAGGTTTTCAGTGGTTTAAGTTATCCGATATCATGAGAAACTGCATCTCTTTAAAGATACTCCAGATTAGAGATACTGTGGTAAGGCAGTAACCTTTTGTAGATACTATATCTTATAGATATTCTGTAAAGGGATTACTTTAGATAAGTAAACGATTAAGAAGGTTCGAGAATTATAGATTAGGTAATTTACTATTTATCAGCATCTTTATCGATAATGTAGAGTGGATCCTCAGCCGATAGATAAATTTTGAACAAGAATTTATAATGAGGAATTTCGACTTTTTAATGCAGTTTTGTGCATCATTTCAATTAACTGTATTCGCTCCACGGCAGAGTATAGTCTATGGCAGATTCCGATTCAAATTGAAACTGTAAGAGTTTATAATAGCAGCAATAAAAGAATATATTAACTGAAGTATTTATATTTAAGTGCAGGTAGCTTTCAACATATTTCTCCGCATTAAGCTGACAATCTTTTACATAGTTAGCTTGCACTTGTGAACTCTTGAGGCATTCAACAAATTGTCTCCGTGGACGTAACTTATGCCAATTAAAGACTCGATGTGACCCCCTCCCCAGTGTCGGCTGTGCTGCCGCCGTGCCTTGGCTGGCTTTGGGATATGCGCAGCTAATTGACCGACAACAGCGAGCGCAGATGCTGCACTTCATCAGCGAGCAAAAAAAGTGAGACCTGGTCGAGTGGCGCGGCATTACGTCAACGTCAACTCAATTTGGCGTTTAACAAGCATGGGACACAGTCGAAGATGGAGTCCGTGTCCGAATCCAAATCCACAGCCAAGTCCGAGTCCGAGTCCGAGTTCGAGTTCGAGTTCGAGTTAGAGCTCGAGCTCGAGTTCGACTTTGAGTTCGGGCTCGAGCTCTGAGCCGGCGCGGGTCAAGTGCTGACGCATCTGCCAAATCGAGTGAAGTGCACCAAAACTTGTAGTAACCAAAAATAAAAAATGCTTGAAAAATAATGAGAGTTGTGGCTGTGCTGTGCTCGTCGTCGGCGATGTAGCTCGCAGCATCATTAAGAGTGATCATCTGTCAGGCGGCTTGAAACATGAAACATGAACGAGATCTTTGCCTCATTTATGTTTTTCATTTTTGGTTTTTTCGTATTTTGTTGTTGTTGCTGTTGTTGTTTTTGGCTCTGGTCTCGGTCTGCGCGCTGTTGCGTTGCTTGGCGACAGCTCATTACGATTATATATCCATATTTCCATTTCAAAACTTGAGCTTGTGAAATTTTCAATTAAACAAGTGGACTCGATGGGCTGAGAGTACCAAAAATTATACAGCTGACAGTTTAAAAAACATTTTTGTTTGATACAAAAATAAAAATTATATATATATTGGTGAAATAATAAGGAAATATTGTTAATTATAATTGTAAAGAGTTAAATATGTATATAAATAATATAATTTTATGGGACACTAACGCATTCGTTGAATTTTGTCCGGATGGTAATATAATACTCACATTAATTCCACAAATAAAAATCTTGAAAATACTAAAAATTCGAGCTCAAGTTTATAGCTTAGTTTTTATGGTAATAAAGTATTTAAATTTATGCTAATAATAATAATACTAATATAATATTAGCACACGCTTGCAGCTTTGTTTTAATGATAATATAATACTGATATTAACACTAAAAATAATAATACTAATATAATACTAGCACACGTTTGCAGCTCGTTGACATGCTTTAGCAGTCTCTATGACGAAATTTCGCATCGGACCGATGTGTTAGATAAGCCTATTGACTGATGAAACTCTGCAGAGTGTAATCAATAGGCAACAGTAAGCGCTCTTAAATTGTTGTATTTAATATGCTTAGCAGTAGTGGCGGGTCCTACTATTTGTTAACTATATGCTGCACCTACAAATACATATGTGGTGCACCCTAATACATTTTGTTTCCAAGGTCGAACATGGGTGTGAGAGAGACCTTAGATTGCTTATGATACACATATTGTATTTTCCTAAAGTCACGGTTTCATCACCATCATCTTTAACTTATTATATAGGACAAGTACAGTAAAATATCTCTATAAACAATAGACGAAACATTAACCACGGCATGGCTACTGATTTGGCTGTGTTATGAGAATATTAGTTAGTTCAAGCTTCCCATTCCTAAGCTTTACACATTTAATTATTACTTGTATATATTAAATTTTAATTATAAAAATTCAAATACAACATTTACAGCAAGTGGAAGAACTCAGACTGAACTAGTCAAAGCCAAAAACGTTCGTTCTACCAGACATTTCTGCAAATGTAGAGCTGCTTTGTTATCTAAAACAACAAAGGTAATACAATTATAAAGCTAGTTTTCTGCAATGCTAATACTTTTCATGTGAAATGGCAGTTGGGAAACAAAGAAAGTGTTTGTTCATATGCTATGGCTAAGGTTTCACAGGTGTTTTGCTTTCTGTTCCGCAAGGGCAGAGCAATAGAAATCTATAAAAAAAGGCCTGCACATTGAGTTTCAGTTATAATTCCCAGTGGAGGCGTCAACTCAACATGTCCTCCGTTAATTATCAACAGCTAGCACTGGCGCTGCTTTTGTGTCTTTTGGGGCTGGCCATGGCAGCCCAGAAAACCGCAGATATTCCCACGGATGTCTACTGCAAGACCGTGCACTGTGGCGTCAGGAATATAGGATGTCACAGTAGCAAAGTATGTATGCGTATTATGAGGCACTGTGGCTAACTACTGCTTTTGTCTCCTGTTGCTGTTGCAGAATATGAATATGAGCACCACATGCGCTCCAGATGCCAAGATGGTCAACTTGTTCCTGCACAAGGCCCACCTGCTGCATCTGTTCAACAGCTTTCGCAACAAGGTGGCTCTGGGCTATACGAGCAGCTTGTATCCGGCCGGACGAATGGCGCGGATGGCCTGGTCCCGGGAGCTGGAGAACTTTGCCATCATATATATGAAGAAGTGCAGGTTATATCCGCGTCCCTGCATGTCCTCGCCCGAGTTCACAACCATTGGCAGCATCTACGACGGACTCACCTATACGGGCAGTGTTAAATTGCATAAGGTGCCGGAGATTACGGAGGAGTTGCTCGCCGGCTGGTTTGAAGACGCGCGCTTCGTCACCCGGGCCATGATGATGAGCCTGACCAATGAATTTCCTAAGCCGTCAGTAAGCGTGAGCCTATCTGAATCAATTTTTCTAATCGATCATACTCTCGCAGATCCGTGCGTCAGGCAGTGCTGCTCATGGCGGACCGCAATACGCACGTCGGCTGCAGCGGCATGCGATTCTCCACTGGCATTTCCCATCAATTCAATTTAGTCTGCGCCTTTGCCACCGACAACATGCTGAATAGGGCCATCTACAGACCCTGGGCTGAGGCTGGCGCCTTGTGCAAGGCACGCGACAGAACCTACAAAAACCTTTGCGCTGTTGGCGAAGTCTACAACAATAAGCACCTGTACAGGCCGGGCGAGCTGCTGCCAGCTGAGTCGGATCGCATTTCCGGGGTAGACGCGTGATAAGTGGAGCATGCTGAGGAGCAATACCAAACTGCATTTCCGATTAGCTATGTCAAATTGAAGTGAAATGAAGATTCGTCTGATATCTGTATCAGTATTATATGGAAGCTTGATTTTTATACCCTGAACCCATTTTCAATGGGAAATCAGGGTATAATGGTTTTGTTGAAATGTATGTAACAGGCAGAAGGAGGCGTGGCAGACCCCACAAAGTATATATATTCTTGATCAGGGCGACGAGCTGAGTTGATTTGGCCCTGTCCGTCTGTCTGTCCGTCTGTCCGTCTGTCCGTCNTGTGTGTGTATGTGTTTGTGTATGTGTGTGTGTATGTGTATGTGTGTGTGTATGCGTTTGTGTATGTATGCGTGTGTGTGTGTGTATGTGTGTCTGTATGCGTGTGTGTGTATGTATGCCTGTGTGTGCGTACGTGCCTGTGTGTGTGTGTGCGTGTTTCTTGTGTAAGCTGAAAGACGCGAAAAATTATTGAAATATCTATTGCTCCAAGGGTTCAGGGGATCTCGTAGTCGAGCAGTCTCGACTAGAGCTTTCTTACTTGTTTATTATACCCCGAACATAAACCTGGCTGTATTAAAGACAGAAGAGGGCGTGGCAGACCACATAAAGTATATATTTTCTTGATCAAGGCGACAAGCTGAGGTGATTTACCATCTTCTCTTCACCCGACTGTTCCGTCCGTTCATCTTTTTGTCGGCCTGTCTACCATATTACATGCAAAGCTTATCGGACAAACAAGTCAGCATTTTTGGTAGAGAAAAGGGTTAGTATTTGCATGTCTTTTGTTTCCTACTGCTCCTTCAGGCGTGATTATTCAATACCTAATAGCCTTCAGTTCCTTAGATAACAATAGTTTCTATTTCATCCAAGTCAAATTCACTTGTCAGGTTCCTCTTGATTGTGGGCTTACAAGCACTCATACACTCTTCATAGGTACTGAAACGATTTGGATTGCCGCCGCAGCCACTGTACTGAAACTCTTTGCATTGCTGATCGTAGCTGTCATAGGCAAACATTTTGTAGTGGGACTTGCATGGACCGCGGTCAGTCATCATTATGCATGGAGCTGAAATGGCATATTTTGCATTTGGTTGATTTCCCTTAGCTGACACTTACACAGATTGGCCTGGGATGCTGCAAAGTCTGTCATCAGAAGACTTAAGATGCAACAGAAGAGTAAAGCTCTTACAATTTCCATAAATATTTCCTTAGCTGTCGTCATAATTTTTGTTACCTTATCAGCCAAAATAATTTTGAGTTTTTGTTGATTCGAAACCCGGTCCAAAGCTTGCTCTGAGAATATATATTAAATTATATCTTTGGGTGTTTTCAAAGTCGACTGATATAGCTTGAGTCACGTCTTATCTAAGCGATAATTTATTTCGCTTCAGCTCTGTACAAATCCTTAACCTTTTCTTAAATGCATTTTCCAAGGCAAAGCCACTTTTCCAGGGCGCTGCTTTAGCCAGTTGATTGCCAATGGCCTCGTGGTTCATTGGCGTGACCTGGCCTTTAGTGCCATAATTGCGATTGGTGCAGCTGGAGCAGCTGGAGAGGCTGCACCATGCACCTGATGGAGTTGCTCCACATTCTAATGGAGCTCGTAGATTGATGATCGTGATAGCAGAAATTGGAGTAGAGCAATTATAACTAGTTTTAGCAACAATTATGTCTTGAATTGCATGAAATTTTATTATAGTACTATAATTTCTCCAAGGAGTAATTAGGCAGCTTACAAAAACGACGACGATGCTTGTTAATTTACTTAATTGAAATGCATTTGCATATGCAGCGTTATACTCTAGCCTCTTGGGAGCTATTTGAACAGTAGCCAATTAGACTTTTTTAGAGTTTGTGATTTATTGCGAATCCTTTAAAAGCCGCGAGCCATCAATCAATGTCAGACAGTAATATGTCAAAGTCGGCAATGACTTCTCTACGAACTATTTTGTGGGTTCTGCTTTCGATTATCAGGCCAACAGTCGAGGCAGACACCTCGACAGTGCTCCGACTGCTGAGCAGCATTAAAAAGCAAGACGACTTCAATTATTTATTGCTAATGAAACATCACAATGTTGCTGTGTCAGACAAATTTATGGCAGCGCCATTCGATGCCAATTGTTTTGTGAGAACTCTAATGGAAGATCTGCAAGCGCCGGTTATGCAGCTCGACGAGCGCGTTAATTATATTCTCTATGACAAGCAAAGCAGTCGGGTGTTGTCTGTGCTATATCTGATCGGAGCAGATCTAGACGACTATGAGCGCTTGCTCAGAGCCCTGGTAGTCAACTTGAGTCACATGACCACGTCGCGGGTGGTCTTTATGCTGCAGCTGGAAGAAGCCAACGAGACGCTTCTACACAAATTATTCAACATTTGCTGGCAAATGAAGTTGCTGAACGTGCTGGTGATATTCGAGAGCTTTCAGGTATACTACTTGGGCAATAGATAGACATAAACTTATGTACTGTGCGTTTCAGTTCACAAACACCTTCTACAGCTACTCGCCGTTTCCCAGTTATCAATTGGAGCAGCGCGCATTTCATTCCAGCTCAATCATCTTTCCTGATCGTCTGCGTGATCTTCGGGGATTTAGTGTGCGCATTGCAATTGGTGGCGCTGTGCCTCGCATCATCGCCTACTACGACAGGCAAGGTCACATAGTCTACCGAGGCATCCTGGGCCACTTCATGCATGCCTTTGGTCAGAAATACAACTGCACGTTTACTCAGCCGATGCCAGCCAGGCCAAATGAGCTGCTTCCGTCGACGCAATTGATTGCAGCAGCGCGAAACGATACTGTGGACATCTCGTTGGCCATTACGTATCCCATACTGCTCAGAATGCAGTCTTATTCGTATCCCTACGAGCTCATGAACTGGTGTATGATGCTGCCCGTGGAGGCGGATATTCCGCGGGCCGACTACTATCTCTATGTCTTTGAGCTGCAGGCATTTGTGGTCACTGTTGTTCTCTTGGCGATGATTTCAGCACTGCTCTCATCGGCTCTGAGATCGGAAGGCCATTCGGTCCAGATGTATGAGTTTCTGCTGCATGCGAATTGTGTGAGGGGCGTATTGGGACAGTCTTTCCATCAGGTGCGTCGAGCTTCGATGCACCTGCGTTCCATATACCTGCAGATCAGCTTATTGGGATTTTCGATTACCACCTGGTACAATTCCTACTTTTCGGCCTATGTGACTAGCATACCCAAGGTACCGCCCTACCGAAGCTACGATGATATCATGGCCTCCCAGTTGAAGGTAGTTGCATGGGAGGCGGAGTACAAGGAGCTCTTAAGATTCCTACCGGAAATTCGGAAATACGAGTCCATGTTTCTTATAGAGCCGAGCTTTAATAAATTCATGCGAATGGGCGACTCCTTTGACACGCGCTATGGTTTCATGACGACAACCAGCAAGTGGGTGGTTATCAATGAGCAACAGACGATCTTCAGGAAACCACTTTTTCGGATTCGCACCGACTTGTGCTTCTTTAATAATGTTCCGCTCGGATTTCCAGTGCACGAGAACTCAATCTATAAGGATATCATTACAAAGCTGATCATGCAACTGGATGAGACGGGCCTCAAGTCGCATTGGGGACTGAAGGGATTTTCGGAACTAGTCGAAGCTGGTGTGATGCAATACTTGGATCACAGTCTGCGACGAGAATTCCGCGCTATGAAGCTAGACGATCTGGAATATATTCTATATGGCTTTGCTTTTATGCAGGTATTATCCTTGGTTGTCTTCTTGCTTGAAGTGTTTGTAAATTGGCTGAGAGTGAGATAAAGCATAGATATTATAACACGTTATGTTAGTGATTTTTTTTTTTTAATTTGTGTTTAATTTAACTATTTAATATTAATAATAATATATGCATATGTAATTGTTGACTTTTTTCAGCAATAGTGTTGTCACTATCATACAACACTACATTTTATTGATTAAAAAAAAAAAAAAAAAAAAAAATTACAACGAAATTATGACAGCCCACCGACATAAATTCCTTTACTGTGAGCAGTTTTGACATCGTGTGCTTGTAATCTCCAGGGTTTTGCTTTGTATGGGACGCGTGTTGAGCGCCAATCGGACATATTTTTTTGTGTTTCTCTGGATCATTAGTAACCCTTTAAAAAGGCGGTGACATGTTGCGGTGTCCTGCAGTGGTTCGTTCCTGTTCGCCATGGTCTGTCATTGGGTTATTTTGCTTTGGACTATCAGCTGGACAGGCGAGGCAAATAGTTCGGACATTCTGCAGTTGTTGAGCAACATTAAGCATCAGGAACATTTTAATTACATGTTGTTGATGAAACATCAAAATAACAGTGAGTGGAGGGATCTCAATGATGGCCAAGACTTTGTTAAGAGTCTAATAGACCATCTGCAAACGCCTGTGATTCAACTGGATGAGCACGTTACCTACTTCTTGTATGACAAAAATAGTAATATAATACTCACTGTGGCACTTTTGCGGGGAACGGATTTTGAGATGAATAAAAGATTGCTGGATTCACTGGTCAAGAACCTGAGAGTTATGACCGTCTCGCGAGTCGTATTTATGGTGCAACTGGAACAAGTAAACGAGATTTTTCTATACGAATTGTTCACCTACTGCTGGGAAAACAGGCTGCTGAATGTGCTGGCGATATTCGAGGACTATGAGGTATGATGCATACAGAATACAGAGATATTAACTCATAAATTGTGTATTCCAGTTAACAAACACCTTCTACAGCTACTCGCCATTTCCCAGCTACCAATTGGAGCAGCGCGTGTATGATCCCAACTCGATCATCTTTCCTGATCGTTTTCGGGATCTTCAGGGATTCAAAGTGAGGGCTATTCTTGGTGGGGCCACTCCGCGCATCATAATTTATTATAACAAACAGGGAGATATCGTGTATAAGGGCACTTTGGGTCATTTCATGGAGGTATTTCAGCAGAAATTTAATTGCACTCTTATGCAGCCGATTCCTCTCAAGCCGGATGTGTTGCTTCCATCAGCGGACCTGGTCGCAGCCGTGCGAAACAATACTGTAGACATCTCCTTGGCCATTACGTTCCCGGAAGGATATGATATGCTGCAGTATACCTATCCCTACGAGCAATTGAACTGGTGTGTGATGCTGCCTGTGGAGGCGGACATACCACGCGCGGAGTATTACATCAACGTGTTCGATCTTGGGGCATTTCTGCTCACCCTGGCCACTATTTCTGTAATTTCACTGACACTGTCGGGTGTTCTGAGACAGCATGGCTATTCTGTGCAGCTGTATGAGTTCATATTGCACGATAACTGCTTGAGAGGCGTTCTGGGGCAATCCTTTTATCAGGTTCGTCGAGCCTCGTTGCTAATACGAGCAACTTACATGCATATTTGTGTGCTTGGCTTTCTGGTTACTGCTTGGTACAACTCATACTTCTCGGCCTTCGTGACCAGCATTCCTAAGGAGGCGCCCTTCCGGACCTACGATGACATTTTGGCCTCCAAGATAAAAGTACTCGCCTGGGAGGGGGAGTATAACGAGCTCATAGCACGTGCCAAGGACCTAAAGAAATACGAGCGCATGTTCCTGGTCGAGCCCAACTTCAATAAGTTCTTGCGCATGCGTGACTCCTGGGATACCTCGCAGGGCTACATGATGACAACCATCAAATGGGTCGTCATAAATGCTCAGCAGAGCATCTTTAGTAGACCCCTGTTTCGGATGCGCAACGATTTTTGTTTCTTCAATAATATTCCCCTTGGATTTCCGGTGAATGAAAACGCAATTTACAAGCAGCCCATAGCCAGGCTCATCTTGCAGCTGACTGATGCGGGTATTGTAAGCTACTGGACAAAAAACGGATTCTCGGAAATGGTCGAGTCGGGCGAGCTGAAATTTTCGGATCTCAGTCCACGCAGGGACTTTCAACCCATGCAGCTGCAGGATCTACAGTATGTGTGGTACGGCTATGCTTTCATGGTCGTATTCTCCTCGATTGTGCTTCTGCTCGAAATGTTTTGGAATCGGTTGAAATTGCGACGCCAGCGTAAATCCATTTAGATATGATTGTTGATTCGTTCATGAAGAGAAAAGTGATTGGTGTTAGTTTGGAAATCTACTCGTCTGCCCTTGTGCTCGTCTAGCTGTCCGTCTATTCGAGAGTCCGTCCGTCATTTCGCTGCTACTGAGGGGAAAGATACTTGAAATTGAGATTTTTGTTCGTCACATCCATTAGGGACGTGTCAATTTTGGAATTACTTTCACTTTTCAAATTTCGAAGCTGTTAGGCTAGCTAGCTAGCTTAGAATATAACGTACATATTTATATACTTACTTGAAGAAATATTTTTATGTACTTACGTTCGATTGGGATCATAGTTCATATACCCTTTCAGACTTTGATATAGCTGTAATATGGTGAGTTCCTAGACCTACCTGGACCTATCTGATATGTCCATTCATCTTTAGGCTATGAATGAGTATCATTATAGTCGCCTACAGCAACGTCATTCTTTAGTTAAATAAAAGTAGCAACAATAATTTGAGGTCTGCTCTTTTCTGTCTATTGCGAATCGATCACATATGCGCCCAAGTTTAACTCGTTCCCACTCTTATTTTCATCTTGGATAATTAATTTGTCAAAAGTCTGTGCAAAGTGCGCATAGTTCGGCGTTTCTTTGTGCAAATGGCCATTTGGCAGGAGATGTTGGCTCAAAGTTCATCAAATGCAATTAAGATGCTTGTTCAGTGCGGCGGCAAGCGCGGCGATTACGGCTGGGTCTGCTGCAGGTCCCCCAAGGTGCCACGAAGACGTCGCGACGTCTCGAATGATGTGAGCCACCTGCGCCAGCAACCGGCAACTGGCAACCAGCAACTGGCAACTGGCGCCTCTTAAAATTCCCTAATCGACATGTTTCGATCTCAAATGACTTGCCGCTCACTACGCTCACAGTTGCCGCTTGCCGCTTGCCGCTTGCCTGCCAGATGCTGCAAGTAAAACATTTTCTCTAATCTGCACTGATGTTTGCTGTTGGCGCTGTTGGTGCTGCTGGCGCATGCGGCACGCATTTGCTGCCTCTCTACACCCCCTTGCCCCACTGCCACAAATCCGCAGCACAGCTCACTGATGATGCTGTTAATGCAGCAGTAGCTCCGCACTTTGATTTTGACTGACAAGTGCCGCCTGTGTAATGTTGCAGCTGATGTTGCTGCCGCTGTTGCTGCTGCTGTTGTTGCAGTTGTTGTTGACATGCGCAGCTGCATGCGCTTGCATGCGCTTCCTTTATTGGAGAAAATTATTTATATGCCCCTGATGATCTCCGTCCAGCTAGCGGCCTGCAAAACTAATTAACACAATGCCAAGGCTCTGCTCCAAGACTCTTGCTGCTCGGCCATGAATTGCGATGATTCAATAAACTTTTTATTTTTCTTTATTTTGATGTTTAATGYTTGCAATACTTAAATTAAATTAAATTATTATAAGACTTAATTGGTAAATTTAAAAAATTTTTCTTTTCCTTGTTTTTCATATTTTTTTCTTTTTTTGCTTTTTTCTGTTTGCATAAATAATAACTAACAAACATTTAACTAAAGAATGTAATTCGATTTGCAGTGTGTATAAACAAGGGCTTAGATACAAAATTAATTATGTACATAAATTAAATTCAATAAATTAGAAAATATTGCAAAATTCACAGTAAATATATAACAATATGTGTAACGTAACCCAAACACCGGAAATAATTTTTTTGTTGTTATTTAATTTTTATTAAAACTATCACATAATAATTGGCAGTTTAATTAATTATTAATTAATCATTAACTAAACGTAATTATATTCAATTTGTGTTACTTAGCCTAGATATTTTGTATAGTTATTTATTTATTTATAGTACATACAAACAGCGGCGAGTGTCAGAAGAAGAAGTTGAATATATGTATAGCTAATCGAGTAACATAGACGATTTATCAAATACGAACAAATAATAATGGCAAGTGCAATGCATTGGAGCATTTTCTAAGTGTTTCTGCAAGTAGTTGAGCCGTGGACAACATGAACACTTCTCAGGGCTGGCGAAAAAGTGTGTGAGCATTATCGAATAGAAGATTAGCTTGTGCCTGGGTATGAGAGATCCTTGAAGAGAAGACATGTATAAATTCGTATTTCTCAGAGTGTTCTATTTATATTATTTTAATTTTTGAATTTTTCAGAAGTGTTCAAGCTTCTTCTCGTTGCTGGCTTTAAGCTTAAGTTTTTAACTATTTACATTGACGAGCTTTAACCTTATGCTAATTAGGGGCGGCAAAGCAACTAAAATGAAATACTTTAATTTACAGGAAACGCTTCACAAAATATATTTATTTTATTTTTTTTTATTATTTTATTA